CTGACATCAACAGACGGCCTGAGGCGAGCCCTGTTGAAGCATTGGCACCATATCGAAGAAGATGAGGATCTTCGATCACTCTTCCCGATACCGCCTACCATGCACCTCATACGAACGAAATAAGAACCTGTGCGAGTTTTTGGTAAAATCAAAACTCAGACAACTAATCACAAAAAACGAAGATCGGGATATCTTAGTTAACCTCCTATAAGCATAAAACTAATTACTAAAAACAAAAAATACTTGAAAAAGACAGGGGCCTGATGAGTAATGAAATGGCGTCCTCGTCCTTTAAAGATCTAGACACAGTAGAAAACATCGATAACAAGAAAAAGGAGCTGATATGATCTTACTAAAGATGCGAAACAAAACTACCGTGCAACAATAAACAATCACTTGTGATTTGTGGTATATGAAATTGGAATGGTCGGAGTAACGAGCAATAAAAGAAGAATATTAACCACGTTTTCGTATACATAATAACAAAACCAACTTTATTTGGTCTGGGATTTTCTAAACACAACAAACGGGGCGAAAGGCAAGCGGTCTTTTGGGTGTCTCATCCTTTACAAAAAATCAAGGTTGGTGGGTAGCGCGACGATCGATGAAACGAATGGAAAGGAACACGCCTCTACTCGATCGTAATTCGTCGCCAGGCTGTTCGGTTGCATGGGAGGCCGCGTGCGCTCGACTACCTGCATGGAGTCCTTCAGCTTGTAGACACGCGGTGCAAACCGAGTCAGCCTCGTGCTAATTCTTGGGGCCATTTCAAAATTCTCTTAGTGAACGTAAGTACTTACGTTCTATTTTCTTATCCATGATTGGTGAATTTTGCTTGAAAGGCCGTCAATGATTGGCTAATAAACTTACGATCTCTTAACCTTTTTGAAAGTATTGGCCCTGGTCAGGAAGACAACATCTAGTGAGCGCGAGCGACAGAACAGAAAAAAATCTTCAACCTTGTTATTCATCGAACGAATATATAACAATAGCCGGCGGCACGGCTGCACACATTGGCGATCAAGACGAACGCTAAGTAGGTTTTGAGGCCTACGGGTCGACACAGGCCGATGCTCAGCACCAGCATTGGCAGAGGTATAGTTCAGCGCAAATGATTATCGCTGTAGCAACGGCCTATTGCCAGTGATGACGTACGAACATGCTGTCGTCGCGCACTGCTCGATAGGTGGCATCAAGACGCCTATTTCGGAACTTGTATTGATCTGTCTTACAACTTGCCAGTATATACTATTGGAAATACGAACACCGTTGCGTATGGCGTATGCAAATAGTTTCTTTGGAATGCAAAAAGTTGTTGTGGTTTCGTCGAAATATGGATAAAATGAACAGGAAATTTGCAAAAAATATCCCGTCCTAAATTTGATATACATTTGTCACATTTACAAGAAATACGACTTAGCAAAGGACGACTGTGAGCGTTGTTTTAGGGATGTAACTGAGCTGCGGATCATCAGACAGACAGCCCTGCAGCGGGTTCTCGGTGTTACGAGAGCATGGAAAAAATTAAAACTAAATCCATTACATTTTTTTCAAAAAGTATAAATATCAGATTAAAAAAATAATAAGTAAAAATTCTATCGTTCAAAAATCCACATCAAAACGCTTTTTTCGGAACCTGTATTGATCTGTCATACAACTTGCCAGAATATACTGTTGGAAATATATACGTACGTACACCGTTGCGAATGGCGTATGCAAAAAGTTTCTTTGGATTGCAAAAAGTTGTGATGGTTTCGTAGAAATTTGGATAAATGAACAGGAAATTTAAAAAAAATATGCCTTCCTCTAATTTGAAATAAATTTGTCACATTTACAAGAAATATGACTTAGCAAGGGACGAATATGAGCGTTGTTTAAGGGCTGTCACTTAGCTGCGAATCATCAGACAGAAAACCTTGCAGCGGGTTCTCGGTAATTTGTGAGCATTGAAAAAATTAAAACTAAATCCATTACATTTTTTTCAAAAAGTATAAATATCAGATTAAAAAAATAATAAGTAAAAATTCTATCGTTCAAAAATCCAATTATTATAGTATTAAGAACTATAAATGCATTAGCTGTCTTCGGAGTTACGATATAGCAAAGCTGCGGCCGCAGCGCTGCACCTCTGCACATGTTTGTACTTATAAGAACGTGAAATGAATGCTTGTAGCTATTTCAAGCGGCAGATGTAAACATGATTTACACATGGCCTCCAAGTCCAACAGCTTTCTCGCCTAATATTGCTGCAATGACGTTTCTCCTCTGGGCAAAACTGATCGTCGAACCTGATGGGAATTTAACGCTGCTTTAAGCAATCTCATCCCGCGCGGAAGTTGGTCATAAAAATTCATCCGATTCTAATTTATATTTGCCCGCTTACTAGATTGGTGTTGACGACGGGATAGATCATGGCTGCAATATTAATGTGAGCGGAATTTATGAGAGTGATCGTTACATATGGGATACGAATTGCTGTCCGCAATATGGAAATAAGGTGTGGGTACTCATGCGATGAACGATATGGTGCCCAAACTGAATAAATAATTGAACTTTGATAGAAACAGTCTATTCATTCATTTGTGTGCGAAATTATTATATTCTGTTTATTACCAGCAATTTTTATTACAGGCCGCCTTGCGTGAACATCAGCTTCTCGAACAGGACCAAACCTGCGGCCAGGGTGCCAGGATTGTATAGGAGTCAAGGCACAAACGTCCAGGCACGCTAGGCAACAGAAAAAACATGCGAATGTGTCAAGACACGTGCGCCATGCAGCACAACCGGCACCAGCCAAGTCATGTGTCGCTGCCAAGGCACCGGCGCCAGGCACACCCGGCACCAGCCAAGTCATGTGTCGGTGTCAAGGCACCAGCGCCAGGCACACCCGGCACCAGCCAAGTCATGTGTCGGTGNTTTATATTTTATAAAGTCGGAAACTTTAACCACAAAAATACAATTATTCTATAATGAACAAAAATCCCTCATTGTCCGCCGTGCACATTTCTATTCACATGTTAAATGTATGCTCTTCAAAAAAGAAATATCTTTAAATTTGCGACATAAGGAAAGAATCCTATATTTTTGCAACATCTGTTTATTTTTTCATTATGATCTCGAGGACTTCCACCTTAGCTGCTTCTTTCATCTACTTTCACCAGACGCTTCGAGGAAACAAACCGTTTGATTTTCAAATGGCGTAGAAGCCACACAAAAATCCATACAAATGTATATTCATACTCATATTCGGCACTCCTCCTTAAGGAAAAATTAGGAGAAAACATATTAAAAGATATTTCCAAATAAATACATAGACCTAACGTCGCTGCTGAAAGTTTTAAGTTGATTCTATGCTTTCATTTACTTTCATATTTTCAATTTTCTCATTCTCTGAAAACTCAGGGGCATAAAGTTGATGATCAAAATTTGTTTTCAGTTCCTTTCTTTTATAACTTAGGATTGCAGGGTTAACTGTGGACTTGGTCAACATGGAAGGACTTATCCCCTCTTTTTCAGTTAGCATTAGAGGAGGAAAACAATAAGGGTTCAATAGGTCGACACTTATGAAGTAAAACAATTATTATTTAAGTCGAATTAAACAGATTGGGAGCCAATGTAAATTTAGTGGCAGACTTACATCTGGCACAAACATAACATAACATAACATAGGGATCTCGGCGCTGCAGTGTTGGCCTGATGTGGCCTGTCGCCGATTCTTTTCCTTTTCGTGCCTTGTTCACAGAAGATCTAATATCGTGTCATTTGACCCTATCTTTTCACGACTGACGAAAGTTTGAAATAGCTACTCGACTTCCACCAGGTTCGATATGGTGCTAGGCATTTCAAATCTGAACATATATTTTTCCTTAGCTTTATCTAGTCTGTTCTTGAACGCGCTCATACTTGGAGCGCCAACGATGTCATCGGGGAGGCTGTTCCACATGTCGGTGATTCGAAGCGAGAGAGAGGCACAAGGCAGGCTCGCGATGATTGGTCCGCGAAGGCTTGATCTCTCTACTGAAGAATAATTATTGAAAACAGCGCTCAAACTTTCTTCAGGAAATGCGGAATGGTTATTATTGCCACTTTTAAATTTTTATGGATATTGGAGCAATGTTTTGTGGATGCGAAACAAAAATTTAACCTCTGGGATACAGTGCAACTTCAAATGTCATTCTTAAACTTGTGAACTGAACAGTCTTAGGATTATTGCCTTTATTGCCAAGGAAGACTTGAAGTTTCGATTATAATTTGTAATACAACATTTTGGAACGCTTCCGACACGGTGCGCGCCGTTTTGTTCCTCAGGGGAACCGCTATCAAAAACTTAGAGTAATGATCAATGGCAACAAGTAATACAACATTACCCCGCGCTGAACGCGAAAATTGCAGTAAATCTAATGCAACTAAACAAACAATTATTATACGGTATGCCGATCACAACAATATATACAGCTTATGGATGATGCTCATTCATGTAAAATTCGTCTGCGTTATATATTTATTAATGAACTAATTAGCTTATCTTTCCGTTTTTCGTAAAATTACGTGTTTCGAATATTAGGTATAACGACCAATTAAGGAACTATTCATTGATTTAAAATAGGATAGAATTCCTGATGATATTAAAAACTCGAAAGATTTCGGTCTGGTTTGAAGAATTATGAGACCTTTGACGTTTTTATAATTGTTCCTAAACTGATGTGTGAATTATGCAATAGCTTTTTCAAATAGGTTGATCTTAATATACTGGTTATAATTTGGTACGAGTATTCAACTATTAGCTTCGAAATTGTTTGATAATCTAAATTAACGAAGAGTAAGTTTCGTTTTTGACGTGCACAAACGCGAGTAAACATGACGACGTTTGTTTTTTTTAACAAAACAGGTGAAAAAATGTCACGACTTTGAAATAAACGTGATAAAATAAAGCACTTTCAACAATAAAAAAAACAATTATTGAACTATTTGGGTACAAACGCACAGGTGTATTCTTTCACCTGCACGAAGATTCTATACGCAGGGAAGGCCCGGCGTGGCTGCGAGCGCCGGCATCCGCGAGGTGCCAGCGCTGGTCCAGCGCCGCGCGGTCGCGGCAGCAACAGCGGCACGCAACTCGTCGAGACGCGCAGTCGCCCAGCGCCGAAACGCCCGCGTCCAACACAGCCGCACCGACTTCGGCCTCGATCTGCCGTGCCACGACCGTACGTAGAAGAGTAGGGGCAGTAAATATTGCATAAATTCCAGCAAGCTATTCACTATTTCGAGACGATTATTTTAGCTCACCTCGTGTTGATGCTGGAATATTAGAGGCTCAAGGGCAAATCTGAGGTGTCTTTCAGGTGACTGTTGAAGGAGCCACACTCTGGTGTGGCTGTCATGGTTGCGCCGTATGGTTTCTACAGCCACAACCATGACGTGTGGCTGAATGGCTGACATATCGTGCGACTTTGTGGAGTCTGTCCTTGATAATTCTGAGTAGTCAGCAAGATGCTGATTCAGCAGCCTAATGAGACGGTCCATAGGAGATTCTGAGTTTGGTTCCTGGAAGGTTTTTTAATGGTGTTACCAGGGCCAATACTTTCAAAAAAAGTCAAGAGATCGTAAGTTCATCCGCCAATCATTGAAGGCCTTTCAAGCCAAATCCACCAATCATAGACAAGAAAATAGAGCGTAAGTAATTACGTTCACTTAGCGAGTTTTGAAAGTATGGCCCCAGGACGGTCATTATACAATTTAAAATGTTCAAAGTCAAAATTCTCATCGTAGACTACATCAAAGTCATCACTCACCTCAGCGTCAGCACTCGTCAGGAGCTCGTGAGGCAGGATGGCGAGGTCGATTGGTGTAGATTTCAGCGCGTCAGCAACTCCGACGCTGCTGACGTCAGCGTAAACAGTCAGCTCGTGCGCTTCGCCCGACGCTGACGAGAGAAGCAGCTTCGCTTCATGCCTGCAAGTGGACACAAGTCGAAGAAATGATCTCCACGAAATAAAATAATCTGTTAAAGCACAACTGAGCCGTGGCTCTTGGGATAGACTGCAATCTTAACAGTTGCAAATAAGAACTCAAGCACACAGTGGGGAAAGCGGAGGCACTTTGCAACGGAAACATAGTTGAAGTGTTGAATTGAGAAGTTATTGCCGTATGAAATTCTGATCAGCATATTGACAAGACATATTTTCGAGTCGGGTATGAATGGGGCAGTAAAGTTCTCATCACACATCAAAAAATTCCTTTCAGGCTACATAAAAAAAATCGTGCTCGCCGTTATTCTATCAGCGCCAAATTGCATAATACTGTGAAAGACAAATGATCGGAATAAACAGAAATTTTAATTCATTTATTAATTTACATTAAAAATATTCATAAATACACCCACCGTCCCAGCCCAGCTGCAGGATCCAGCAGCAACAATCCTGAGTCGCTATCCAGGCGGATTCCTGAATTAGATCCCTGCCATGTAATTCGAGCGCTGAATTTATCTAATCCACGGCTATAATTATCCAAGGATTTCCCAGTCACAGGGTCAGGTTCATCGAAGTTGAACCTGAATTTATCCCTGAATAGTGAGGATACATTATCCGTTTCAGTGTCGGTTCCGTGGCGTTGCGTTGAGTCGCCAGGGAAGGGCAGGCGAGGGAGACGCCCGAGGGGAGCTGGAGGGGCCGCCTGCAGAATGTTCTTAAATACTGAATTCCATATTCATACAACAAAGACGTACTAAACAATTAAAATATTATAATAACACGAGCAATTAAATCTCAAAAGATCTGCTTCAACTCACCGATAATTGTTTAGAGAATCGTAATTAGATAATAATGTGTGTACTTGACTTTGTCAGCTGTACTCATTTACGTCAGCGGGATTCATAACTACCAGATGTACTCCCAACTGTCTGTTATACTCATGACTGTAATTTACATTTATAAATGTGAGCTACTCTCAAGACAGCCATGACTATTAGTGTTACTCGTCAGCAATATAAACTTCAATTATCAGCAACAATAACGCCAGGCATGAGATATACTCACGTGAGCTGACACGACGGTGGCAATCTTAACGAGGCTGACGTCTCGATGAGCTGACTCAGCTGAGTGAGGCACCAGAGTCAGCGTCATCTGCCGTCGCATAGGCGGTGAACCAGCGTCTGACAATGTCAGTGGCACTGACACAGCTGCACTGAGTGGCCTCAGTGTCAGCAGTTCAGCTGCCACCACAACCCCTCCACCAGCAGACGCTCGTCCTGATCAATGGTGTTTCTTCAGTAGCACTCGACACGAAGTAATTGTAATAGTGAAGCGGGGGTAATGAGCTGTATTAATATTTCAGGGTATCTGTTAGTGGGCCACGTAGCGTAGGCTACGTGGATGACTGAAAAACTTCAGTAATTCAGGCTGAAGGAAACACTCGTATTAATAAATCTAATAGAATTTCAAAACCTCATTAAAAGTTCATATGGACTCGAACGTGAATAATACGACTAGCAAACTTAAGCTTAATGAATCTCTATACAATTATAGAAAAGTTGGTGTCTGGCAACTGGTTATTTCGCTGTTACATACGAAGAAAGGTACGTATTTACATCTTTATTTCTAGTCGCTTTAGGAGCAGTCCAGCGGCTGGTAAAATTGGTTTCAAGTGCGGCCAAAACAATAACATAACAATAATAACAATAACATTACAATAATAACAAAGTCTCGCTACAATAGAACTATTCAGTTATGTTCTGTGAACTTGATGATCACAAATGCTGATAAAATGTTCAATCAAAACCTGGTTGACTTTACTCACCCGGGTAGAAGCTAACCCTGTACCCAGCATCAGCCGTGAGATGAGGGTCGAGATGAAAGGGCGGGCCATGACCCTGAGACCAGTCGTCAGGGTCGTCTAGGGTTAAGGTGAAGGGAACCCTTGACCCTGCAGGCAACCCCAGCCCTCCACCATCGCTGCCCCCTGCCATGGGGGGGAGCTGCACTCTGGACCCCCCCAGCAGGAAGGGAGGGTTGTCGTTCACGTCGTCGACGTTCACCTGAGGCACCGGAACGCCGCGCGTTTAAATGCAGCGACATGAGTTTAAGTTTTAATTCATGGTACGATTTGAAATAGTTTTAGATGCGAGTAGGAATAAGGAATAAAATACGATTAGAGGAAAGAAATTAAGTAAGGAATCAGCCAGGATTCAAGGTATAATTTGAATTGATTTGAGGTGCAAATAAGTGTAAATTTCAAGTTTGTAACGATTACAATAGAATTGAGGTTCAGAGTTGACTCTAGCTTTATGTGAAGTGGATGTGATAAAGCTTTAGTTTGGCTATTTGAACCTGTCTCCTTGATCTGCAAAAAGGACCTTGAATCTCTAATAAAATGTATTGATAACCTTTGGCCATAACATACAGTGAACTTTCAATTAGAAGTTGCCAAAGATCTTCAACATAAGATTTAGCATGAACATTTAATTAGAAAGAATCGTGATCCTTCAATTAGAAGAAGCCATCACCCTTTAGTATACAGTAAAGTACAGTACAGTATGTACAGTAATTACCGTTACTGTACACACTGGACTGTTACGGAAATTACTGTAAAGTACAGTAATTACCGTTACCGTGACCACCGAACCATCATTACCGTGACCACCGAACCATCGTTACCGTGACCAGTTACCGTGACCAGCGAACCATCGTTACCGTGACCAGCGAACCATCGTTACCGTGACCAGCGAACCATCGTTGCCGTGACCAGCGAACCATCGTTACCGTGACCACCGAACCATCGTTACCGTGACCAGTGAGCTATCGTTACCGTGACCAATGAACCATCGTTACCGTGACCAATGAACCATCGTTACCGTGACCAGCGAACCATCGTTACCGTGACCAGCAAACCATCGTTACCGTGACCAGCGAACCATCGTTACCGTGGCCAACGAACCATCGTTACCGTGACCAGCGAACTATCGTTACCGTGACCAGCGAAACATCGTTACCGTGACCAGCCAACCATCGTTACAGTGACCAGCGAACCATCGTTACCGTGACCAGCGAACCATCGTTACCGTGACCAGCGAACCATCGTTACCGTGACCAGCGAACCATCGTTACCGTGACCAGTGAACCATCGTTACCGTGACCAGCAAACCATCGTTACCGTGACCAGCGAACCATCGTTACCGTGACCAGCGAACCATCGTTACCGTGACCAGCGAACCATCGTTACCGTGACCAGCAAACCATCGTTACCGTGAGTAGTAGTAGTAGAATGGTTTGCTAGCGCTTCAGCTATCAAGCTATTTCGCAACGGAGGTCAAAATGTAACATCGCCAGCAAGGAGGAAGGTCTCAATTATTCAAAGTCTCAAATTATTCATCACCCACAAGAAGCGGAAGGTCTCAATTGTCCAGCCCGCTGAAGCTGGCTCGAAGGAAGCAGCGTTAGCATCTCAAAGAGACGAAGTGACAAGGAGGGACAGGTGAAGAAAAGTAACAGAAACTAAGACACTCGAACAAGAGGTCGCTTACACGGGACGTCGGCGGCCCGCACGAAAGAGACAGAGAAGGGAAATGTAAGGAATCCTACCAACATAATAACTTAACCCCACAACTGAGACCTGCAGTCAGACACCGCGAGCTCAGCGGTGGAGCGCTCAGGAACATCCCCCTAGGAGCGCGAAATCCCATAGGAGTTCTGACGAGCACAGACACACGTCAGAAGTCCCTCCTGAGGGATCGTTACCGTGAGGGTGGCGGTGGCCGTGAGTGGAGGGCTGCCGCTGTCCCAGGCAAGCACCCTGAGCAGGTGTAGGGGGTGGCTCTCCCTGTCCAGTCCCCTGTTCAGGGTGACGGTCCCTCCGTCGCTCACCCTAAACACGCCCCCTGGGTCGCTCTCCGCGAATATGCCGTACGTCACCAGCCCGCTCGCCCCCTGACCAAACTAGCACGTCAATTTATATCATAATTAGAGGGGGAGTTTACTAAGCTACAGCACGGCAGCTTAGTGAAGGTATAAACCTGGCATAATTGATAACAGAATGAAATGAATTACTGACTGGACAGAAGTATAGCCTCATGATAAACAGCAGGATATCTCCATAACAAAGGATGGTAGTTCATGATGATGTTAGCGCTACTGAATTACTGAATGTTTCCGACACGCGGGGGTGCGAGCTCCACGGCATGTCGCCCTACAGTCACGGGTGCCAGAGAGAGAGAGAGTCACGGGTGCCAGAGAGAGAGAGAGTCACGTCCTTGAGTCACGGGTGTCACTGACAAATTTCCAGTAACTTAACCCTTTGTATGTAAAGACAACTGAATTTCCGTTACCGGGTCTTTAAATACGAATAGCATCGGAGGCGGTTAACGTATCCATGGAGATGAATAATAATAGACGAGGCTAGGTAGCGTCAGTGGATGGTAGTCAGTGGATGGCAAACCCATTACCCAATCTTTCTTATATCCTATTCTATCGGAATAAAAATTTGTCCTATCTTGATATTATTAGGGTGTGTTAAGAAGAAGTTCGAGGTTTAACGGGAGCATCTCTTTCAGAGGATGAATTCGTTATATGAGGTTGAATCAATGGAACCTGCAGAATCATTGAAGTATTCGGCGAAATAACTGCGTCAAAATCATTGGTTCAAATGACCATGTAATATAGTTGCATTATACACGACATAATCTCTGAAATGTTGATATTATTTTTTTTCCACATCCAGAACCTTCCTCCCGGATTTTTGTTCTTCCTTCTGTGAACAGCGCTTGAGGTTCCCCCGACAGATAGGAGTGAAGGATATATCAGGAATCCCGAGAGTAATTCCATACAATAATGAATTTTGTTACACAAGAGAATTAACACACGCAAATTAATAATACACGTAACGCATTTATGCATCGCAGTAATGCGCTTACTGAACTCAACGAGGGACCAACATACACATGACGACACACCTGATCGGTGACCTGCACTCTAAAGTTGAGTCCCGCTCTGTGCTGTGGGTTCTCAAAATCCAGCGGCACTCTAGAGAACAGGTCTGCACCAGCTGTGCTTGCTGCCACTTCCACCAGCTGCCAGCCGTGGCCGCTCCCGGGCACCACCTGTCGTGCGCGTGATGTATATTAACATCTACACGATGTATTAATAACTACAGGACAGTCTTGATCATGTGAATAAGGGTGAATGAAAGTGTTAACAAGAGAGAATACTTTTGTCACTACCAATCAAGAACCTCACTTGAAAAAATTAAGCGGCTGAAATTCATAGATTGCCATGCTGTAATTAGGCATGTTATCTCTATCTATTGCAAACTTATGCCTTTATGGTTTGAAGTGACGTATAATTTCATGTTTTATTGCTGCAATATTAACGTCATTATACCAATACTTTTCTGAATGCCAAAAATGAAGGAGACAATTTATTTGCTAATAACAAGCGAAAAATGGAAATAATTCAAGGGCGAGTCAGACGCTTGTCTTACATTGGTACGCTACAATACTTCTTTCATTGGCCTAAATTGCGCGTTAAAATGCTTTTAAATAAATGTCTCTATGAACTATAAAAGCTCACCGTACTGACTATGAGAGAAAAAAATCAATTACCCGGTATGCAAACACGTTGCTTGTATCAGGATCCGTCACCACGAGAGTCGAGATGAAATTTTCAGAGACGTTGCTGCGAGATTTGGACGATGGAAGGCCGCGGGAGGGAAATTCTCTGTTGGAAGACAACATTGCGCTGGATGATAGTGCTTCCTTGGGCAACGTGACTTCTTTAGACGAGGTAACTCCGTCGGATGACGAAACGTCGGGAGATGACGATGCTCCGTTGGATGACGATGCCCCGTTGGATGACGATGCTCCGTTGGATGACGATGCTCCGTTGGATGATGATGCTCCGTTGGATGACGATGCCCCGTTGGATGACGATGCCCCGTTGGATGACGATGCTCCGTTGGATGACGATGCTCCGTTGGATGACGATGCTCCGTTGGATGACGATGCTCCAAGGGACGAAGAACGCTGGAAAGATGGTTGACGATGTTCAGGGACCAAGACATCGACGTGCGATCGCACGAAGGAAGGAGGAACGTCGTTGACGTCGTCGATGTTTACGGTAACGGTGCAAGTACCTGAACAAACAGCAATGTAATGATTTTCTATTCCTTAGCGACATTCTAAAATAATTAAATCACATTATACGCTAACTTAGTGTCTATCGGACGATCGAATGTATAGTTAAAATTAATCTTGCAAGAAATGAAAGTGATCTAAATAAAGTGTAATCAGTCAAAAATTACTGGGAATCATATCATGTTTGGATTTGGGATCAAGTGTAGGAAAGAAATGTCAAAAATGGTCACATGTACTCCCATCTGCAGACTTTTTTTGGCACAAACTGGCAAGTTTAGGCTTTACGGGGTAACACGATTTTATGGTGGCAAGGGAAATTTTAACTGCCGTTTAGTTAGTGCCGGGCGCTATGTTAAGAAAGCTTTACTCTTTGCACGAGACGCTGGCTAAAACACAAAGCTTTGTCAAAGCAAATGTCTCAAAAACCCAAGTTGCAGCCGTCTTATAGGAACCGAATTCTCACGCACCGCTTGCAATAAAGTAATGAAAGAGCGCTGCTGCTGTGGCATACTTAACACCGTTGTTATTTTGGTGGAGATAAGCAAGTCATCAGGGGTCTGTTTCGCTAGCCAATACTTGGCATATTTCTTAGACTGATCATATTAATAATAAATTATTAATATTAATATGATGTGCGAATAATGGGGTATAAATTAAAATAATTTAATTTAACAAACGCGGCATTAAAAATATGTCGTAACTATGGTCCAAAGACGAAAACTTTTCATTAAATTATTATTGAGAAACTGTAAAAACATAAAGTATGATTTAATGTAATATAAATAGACAAGAAATTAAAAGTGAGGCCTTAAAGCCCAAATAATCTTAAATTGGGTATTATTATTACCTATTATCAAATAATATCTAATTCATAAATAAGGATCAAACGTTTCAACATAAAATATAAATGAATTTTACCGCGCAAAGATACAAGGTTGAGGTATGAAATAATTAATTGCTGAAAAATAGTACAAGTTTAATTGTTTATTTCACATTTAAAATTCAAATGAGAAAAATGAAATTAAAAATGAAAGATGAACGCATTCAATGCTTTGCTGATTACAATACGAAAGAACGCAGCGGTTCCTTGGTTTGGGAATATTTTCATAGCTGAACAGAACCTGGTTTATTCTGTCACTCGGATAACTGAATGATTTAAAGTCAGAGTTTGTCCTGCAAAAAAATCAGAATCTCGTAAAAAAAATCTTACAAATTATTAATCCCGCCAGTCCGCAGCGACGACAGGCCGAGGACAACAGCAATGCTAGAAAAAATTCAATTGCATTTCTTGAACATGAGAGGCACTGGTCGACATTTTCTGGTGTACTTCTGAACAATAAATAGAGGAAAATTCTGATAAAACATGAATTTATTTTTTTCTTTTGGCGATAACCGAAGAATTCGTATTTGTTCTCTTCTCAACGGATCAAATGTCTTATTTATTGGAGAACCATAAATCTACAACTGAAATTATTGAAGTGCAACAAATTTCGCAGCTTCGAATGGAATACAAAAGGAACTTCAATAATTTACATAAAATTGTAAAATTATTTATGATCTCATCGTTTCCATCGGAATTAAGGCAGTGCAAAAAAAAAAAAACACCCATGAAAGACATTTGTCGTACTCTGGGCTGAAAATAGATGAAAAAATAATCTTCGCTAAGTATTATCGATGTTGATGTTATCGATTATCGATGTTATCGGTATCGATGTTATTATTTGTTCGGTAGGAATAAATTTTCCATTCAGGATGGACGTCGTAGGAGTGTCGGAATGCGCGTATCATAAGAAAGCTTCGGGAATACCGTAAATATCAGGAATTATTTTGATCGGGTGACGCAGAGAATGCCAGAAAAACAGAAAATCCGAAATTATATACGCGTGGCAAATTTTCGCTACATTTCCAATGTGAATAAGATGGATGCTGAATTTATTCGAATTTTCTGAACATTAATAGGTGCAGCCGATTTATTCCCTAACAAGTAATGTGCGTGGGTACAAAATAATTTTTTTTTTATTTTTTTTTTAACTATTTTTTTGTAAAACTATTTGTTTTGAGTAATATTTGTTGATCGCAAAGAAAGTTTGATTAATCTCCAAGTAAATATTCCAAGAAGAACAAGAGATTAAAAAAATTGATACATTGTCACGGTGATGATTTCTAATTTTAAGGTTATTCAAATTGTTGAAAGTTGTTTCTGTATTTTCATTGGGGTAATTCGTAAAATTTCCTGTTCATTTAACACAGCTGATCGTGTTTGCAGCCTTGTGTCCTCACGAGAATAGCTTGTTAATAATTCGCTCATCCTATAGAAAGATATTACAAGACTTGATATAAACTTCGGTGAGTAGTGCCGGGAAAGTTCATATGAGTTGAGCAAGCGGCTTTTGAGGAGCGGACGAGCGGAGTTACTTCTTCTGCATTATTTTAGACGGCGCCTGAAGCTAACCGAAAAAAAAACGATCGAAATCCAAAAGTTTCAGAGACACGTGGTAAAATGCGAGAGAGGTCTTGCAACATAAGGTTGAGTTTCAATTTAATTTCAAATTATTTTTTAATTATTATTTTAAATTCTGGTTGCCTAGGCATAGAAATTCTTGGCAAAAAAAGAAATAAAAAAAAGTATTCAGTTCCAGCACTTCCTTTAAGGACACAATGATTACCAGCGCACCAGCTATGACGCTATCTCGCGTCGTAACTTATTATGTTAGTAACAGACAAGGTGGAAGGCCTCGATCATCATTAAAATCTTGCATAGAAAAATATTCGGCACGCGAATGAGGCGTGAGGCTTCAAATGCTCAGCGGCATGAAGCTAAATGTCAGCGCAGCAGTATGAAAGGCAACAAGGACGCAGACAAAGGGTCTTATTATCTGTAAAATATGTAACATATCGCATTAAATATATGTATGTGGAGAACCAACTTTGAAGACCTCCTCCGTCAGTAGCAGCAAGCACAAGCCCGTAAGACGACGTGTGCTCCCTGTCTAGACAGCAGACGGCCGTACGCAGAGCCCCCGTCTGCCTGTCAACTGTGAACATAGGCAGGCGGGAGCGTTCATCAATGACGTTCTTCAGCAGCGAATACGACAGGCGGGCGTTGTCGCCTTCATGCGGGTCGTCTGCGTCGTGCGCAGTCACTACCGCCACGGTCGTTCCTGTGAAAATAGGCGAAAGTAATTCAGGACGGAATAACATATTCGATAAGCTATAATTAACTTCAAAGACAAACTTATTCGCATTAGCACGAGTTATATGCTTTAAAGACTCGCAATAAGGCTACTGCTGTGCTCAGATTAGGTTTAAACTAATGTCAATACTCATGCGTTAACTGCAAAAACTCTATAAATACAAGAAGTCATTAAATCCTGATTGATTGGAAGGCCACTAAATCAAGAATATTATAAATATGAGAGGCAGGGTATAGCATAAAAATTACAAATATAATATTCAAATGTCCTCATGCTTTTGAAATGAAAAAACAGACTAAAAAATCGTGCCGAAAATAGACTGCGTAAAAAGTTTCGCCGCCCCGGTAAGTGCAGAAGCAGCCTTTGAGCTCAAACGCACCCACGAAAGAAATAGTTTTTCATTCAGAAAACTTAGAAATGAGATTCAGAGATATGGAAGATAAGGCGAGCTGAATTTCTTATTTACACATTTTTGTGTCTACGTTGTATAGTTCCTGTTCGTTGAATACTTCAAAGTTTTGTAAACGCAATTTTTAACATACAACTTTGAGAGATGAAACCTGGCGTTTCCGGAAATGCATGATATTGTAATATTCCGTCTTGCGCTCTTGCCACCTGCATTATTTTCGAAAACTAAGTGCCTCTAGTTGCTAATTACACCGACGATGTATCGAGTCGAGAAAACTGAGACTTTTATTGTAAATTACTCTATTGGGCGTAAAATAATTAAATTAAGACAGGGAATGTCGATGCCATTGCTTTACAAATATTGATACAAACTTCATCAAAAGTCACGTAAGCTTGTCGCTCGTGGATCGTTGCTTGCTCACGATAACGAAGCTGAGCTGCCAACTTTATAACGAGAGAAATCCATCTTATAGAATCTCATACCGAGGAAAAACGACAATATTTTCAATCAGATTTACGAAACGTACTTGTTTGCTAGTTCTTATAATTGGACATCGAGATAAGGCATGTAGTTGCATTGCTCCGGGTGCCGAAGATTAAAAGCGATCACTTGTCGTGATCCAAACCTGATTGTGAGGCACTTAGCAACTCAAACAGCATATATACTTACAGAAAACCCGTTATTACAAAATTGAGACAACCAGCTTTGTCATGGCTCGCCTTGACATTATAGAATCAAAGGTTTTTTTTTTATTACAAAGAAAAATATGTTTCATTCAGGTTTATCTTCATAAGATTGCTAACAAGAGTTTCAGAAATTAAAAACTAAGGCCAAACTCGCAATCATTAATTAAAAAAGTTATCACCTGGCATGGAGTTTTCCAAGACGTGTGCGTCGATGACGTCATGCGGGAAGACGGGTGCGTTGTCGTTGACGTCTTTGAGGTTGACGAGTACGTCAGTGGAGGCCGTGTACTGCCCGTCCGTGGCCGTGACCGTCAGACGCCAGCGCGCCTGGCCCGTTGGTGCGTCACGGTCCAACGGCTGGCAGGAAAATGTGAACATTTTTGTACGTTAACTTTTCACGACCAATGTACAGGGTCCTCCAAAAAAACCTCCCTGATTTCAATAGGCTTTTGCAAAAATCATACGACACATACAAAATAATTAATTTTATTTGCGAATAGCTTATTTGATGCCATTTTACATCATTTAGTTCACTTTACTTGATTTTGAAAATTATGTTCGATAAATGATGTCCCCCATTGTTAAGACATTCACGAAGTTTTCCCTGAAGTTGCCCATAGTTCTTCGTGTAACTTCCCTTGGAATGGCTGCCACTTCCTGCCTAATGGCATGTTTTAGTTCTTGCAGATTTCTGGGTCGATGTTTGTACACTTCAGCCTTTAGGTAGCCCCACAGAAAGAAATCACAAGGTGCTAGGTCGGGTGACCGCGGGGGCCAGGAAATGTCTCCTCTTAAAGAAGCAAGACGTCCAACGAACAACTCTCTTAACATTTCCATGGACCGGCGAGCAGTGTGAGCAGTGTGAGTCTTTCTGTGGGGCTACCTAAAGGTTGAAGTGTAGAAACATCGTCCCAGAAATCTGCAAGAACTAAAACATGCCATTAGGCAGGAAGTGGCAGCCATTCCAAGGGAAGTTACACGAAGAACTATGGTCAACTTCAGGGAAAGACTTCGTGAATTTCTTAACAATGGGGGACATCATTTATCAAACATAATTTTCAAAACCAAGTAAAGTGCACTAAATGATGTAAAATGGCATCAAATAAGCTATTCACAAATAAAATTAATTGTTTTGTATGTGTCGTATAATTTTTGCAAAAGCCTATTGAAATCAGGGAGGTTTTTTTGGAGGACCCTGTATAAGGAGCTGGATTGTTTGTGTATTCTGGTCGCGTATATATGAGCTTATATCTCTGTTCGCGAAACTTTGTACAACCTGAGCAAAATTTTTCTTAGTAAATAATAAACTTTTTTTGCACTTCGATCTATTCAAAGACCTTCACTAGCCTTCGTGCTGCAAGTGCTCACATAATTTTAGTATAATCGACGCCCAAACCACCTGACCACTTTGTGCACCTGGTCACACTGCATTATAAATGGTATGCAGGGCAGTGCAGTTGCTTGAAGCTTATCTCGGTATCAAGGATACCATCTTCGTATTGAATCTTCTCCTCAAAGGATTAAATATCATCGCAATTTCTGTAGAGATTAGATTCCATACTATCAAAAATCACTCGTGTATACGTAGCGGCTCAGGTACACGTAACGGCAGATTTCACGACTTACATGTGATTGGTGGGTCTATCTTTATAAGCCCTCAGTGATTGGCTGATAGAGTTACGAACTTTATCTATTACTGATATTACGGCCCTATAGGCATCAAATGACACCTGATGCCTGACATCAAGAGTCATTTTCATTACCAAGCAGTCTAGATGTAGAGGCTCTAGCATTTGAAGTCTTTACTTTTAGAAGTTTATTTTTCGATATAACATAACTGATAATAATCGATATAACAAAACTGTCGGCTGAACTCCGCCTTAAATCTGCACAAAAAATTCGTCATCTAATTACAGTCCCGCTTGAATTTCCCCGCAAAACACAAGAAGTTGGGAATTAAACAGTCGGCGTATGTTATTTACGAGGCCATCGCTCTGCTGACTGTCTAGAGGCCCAAGATGAGCGGCTTTTGTCTATAACTCATCGCATATTTTGTGCTTTCCTCAATTAATTGAGGCACAATTCCAATATAAAAATAAGTACATAAAATTGGAACTGTTAATATTCACGTATGCAATTGATCGTGGATGTCTAACGTAGTCAAATATGGCAAAATCGATTCAATGACCAAGTTATTTCATAATAAAAAAATATTTTCAAGTCAATCATTCCGTCTTTCATTTGCGACGAATTTGAATACCTCGCGTAAGTTAAGATTATTGTTTTGCCTGGGAGTTTCATATGTAAGCACAAACTATGTATTTATATATGTGATATATTTTACACTGCGTGCAGACAAATAGAACTTTTATCAAATCTACAAAAGATAAATTAAGAAATCTCGACAAATTGACTCTTAATTATATGTACACAAAAATTTGTAATGTAAATTTGCAATATCCAGGTAATATAATGTGCACAAATACAAGCTTCGTTCGTAAACATGAAAATTACAGGGACAGCGTCAAATGCCACATTTACTTCATTAAGTAAGTTCGTGAGTTTCAATCGTCTAACTTAATTAATTATTTAATTTTCCCGGAAAACACTTCCTTCAAAATACATGCCTAGCTGAAAGACAAAAAAAATAGATACATAAATAATCAGCCGCGCATCACAATAAGAATCTTATTCCCTCTCAGAATTTAAAGCCACAAGACTATAAAGACAATGAAATCAAGTTTTTGTTTCATTGACGAAAACTTTTGTTATAGCGACTGAAAGGCAACAGTTCGAGTTCACAAAGAAAGTTGCACTCAAGCCCGGTCTCAAGGTTCAAGTTCACGAAGGAAGTTGCACTCAATGTTCAAGTTCACAGAAAAAACTTGCGCGACTCACAAAGAGGAAAGTAATAGCACGAGGCCTGGGCGACAGATTAAGTTGGCGACTTGAGTTCGGAGGCTTTATGCAGTCCACAACTGAGTTGCAACTCTTCAGATGACAGATAATGAAGCCTACTTAAAATTATAGAGAGCTAGGTTTCATTTCAGGATATTCTTTTGCATACCGGAGCAAAAATTTCAGTTTCATTTGAGCAATGTTTCAGGTACAAGAATTATCAGCCATAATCCAACCACAAAATGATACTATAAAATTGGCAATCACAAGGCACCATACCTCGCAGCTACTGCAGAATATCGAGGCTTAAATTGAGGATAAAGTACGGGAACAATTCAGTTATTCATACTAGTAGAAATTGAAAATCTCTATTTTCAACGAAATAGAAAATCTTTACTTTCAACTTAAACAACGATGAATTTTTCAGTCGAACAGTTGATTTGCACTCGTCTAGATAAATCTTGTAGCAATCGACTTTTTCAACACCTGCGACTTTGTGTTGACAATGTCAAAGGATAATCTTTCCAGTTCGTACACGCAATACCAAGTTAAGTTTTTTCACGCCTCACTTAATATTTCCAGATGCAGGTCAATCAACAAACTCTTACAATTTGATTCTCTGTAACGACGAAAAAACCTTCATGGTCGCAAAAGAAGTACACATATCTCAATGCATTCCTTTACTGTAGTAAATATGTAAATATCCGTCTATAAAGCTGCCAGAACAACTGAAGGGCTAACAATAATTCTCGTGAAATATTACTCGGCGTCACGATGGGCAAGAAATGAATAAAGCTTCAGTGGCTGGTGGCAAGAGTGGCAGGCTTCGTGCCCGAGTTATTCATCTCGAGACGCACAGCTGGCCTCGGGTGGCAGGTGGCATTCATCAAGTGGTGGAGCTTATCTTTATTCAGGTATTGTGAGCGGCCTTTGACTTGGTTTGACCATACAGTTATTCGAGTATAGTTAACGGTATGTAACTTGGCTTAACTAATAATTTATTAATTTCAAACTATATATATGCATGCATGCAAAAACATGGAAACGTCTAACCGAAAATGAAATCGTGAATGTTTACGAGAGATGCCAATTGGCGGGAAGGGCTAAATGAAAAATGAAACGTGCAATCACTTCCTTCGCACAACAGAAAATAAGATTTAAACTCATTTTCGGGGGATTTTTCACGATTGAAGAAAGAAGCGCACTTTTACTAATTACAAGAGCAATCAAAAATAAACAATTAAACATTTATGACACTTAGTAAGAAAAAACTTTCACAATGCTTAATATCAGACTCGGGAATCAGAATTCATAAATCGTGAAAAAATTCTAATTATTAAAATAGGATACAAGTGCTTCAATTGAAAATTAAAAATGAAAATCGAATATGTGAACGAATAATTACCGAGGAGCACGAAAATTGAACTAACTGCAGGCTTGCCGATAATGTTATTTTTCAACGGTGATGATGACAAAATGATAAATGAGAAAAAAGAAATTCAAATATAGCTGAGATACGTTGAGAAATTTAGGATAAATTCATCTGCCGAATGATCAAGAAAAAAGCGCAATATATAGTTCAACTATAATAGAAATAGAAGCATTAACCCGCAACGAATTCCTGGGCGGAAAATTCAAGGAGACGCTTGGGGTTAGAGGGAGCTGTTGCCGGCCATGCGCTGCCATGATCTTGGTCGTAAATAGGCGGCTTTACGACGTGTCTGAGAGCCGAATTACGACTCGCTTCCTGTGATTGGGTCCCGAAGTGAGGGTAGGCATGAGCGACAAGCCAGTGACAATCGTGGGATGACGTCATGATGAAGTCGTAAATTCAGAACTACGACTTGACACACTTTTGTGATGAACACCGCATGACGTCATCACTACGTCGTAAACTCAAAATATGGCACTCGACATGAGCACAAAAGACACCGAAATTATCGATTATGTGTCAGGCGTGGCACGCAAACAGCCTGAAGATAGGAATGTCGTTAACTTCATAAGTGGCAGAGAAGTTGACTTGCCACCATGGAGAATAAATAGACAAAATTTACAAAGAGCAGTGGGCAAAAAATTCGGGTGTTTTCCTGGCCCAAAACTCAGATGGAGAAAATTAGAAGATTAATAAAAAATGATTTTTTTAACCAGAATGGGAAAAATAAAGAAATCCCGTCACCGTACATGTAACATAGACATTTGATGGATCAAAAGCTGGCTCATTCCTCTGCTTTCCATTGAGCCAAGCCACGCACGGAACGCTGTATTCCAGCATATCAGTTCAACTCATCAACATGCAATGGCGATTCAATGGACTGAACGTATCTCGTGGGCCAATATAGAAATAGAGAGTTCAGTATCAGATAGGTAAAGTACAAGGCTTACCGAGCGAAGCGGTTTGACGGTTCAATGCCGTCAATGCGGGACTAAACCTCATTCGTGTCTCACGACCATTCTGCAGTTAGCGTAATAGCTAGAGTTGATTCCTAATAGAATTGGTGAATCGAAAACGAGAATGCCAGATGGAAATAGGCGAATCGTTGCCGATTCTCAGGATCAGCGGTGAAGTCCGCCAGTGACATCGCTAAATCATCCTCCTCGGGAGATAATGGAACCTTTATTGGAATTTTGGACCATCAGTCAGGGCGCAAACGGAACTCCCTGGTCACCGATCGCGAAAATACCACCTGATAAAAATGTATATGTTTGGAATGGTAGATAGAACTGGGAATATTTTGGAAGATTCAAAAAACAAGTTAGTGAACAAATAAGAATATTATTGTCTTTACTCTGAGGCAGGTGATCTCCAGAGCTGGATAGTGACAATTTTAAGTAAAATCACGTAAAAGTGATATAACAAGACCAAGTAATATCCTCAAAAATATTTTTATCGCTTTTAAGCAAGCACCGTGACCTCTTGACCTTGAGCAGGCACCGTGACCTCTTGGCATCGAGCAAGCACCGTGACCTCTTGCATCGAGCTAGCACCGTGACCTCTTGACCTCGAGGAAGCACCGCGACCTTTTGACCTCGAGCAAGCACCGTGACCTCTTGACCTCGAGCAAGCACCGTGACCTCTTGACCTCGAGCAAGCACCGTGACCTCTTGACCTCGAGCAAGCACCGTGACCTCTTCGACCTCGAGCAATATCCATAGTAAAATCTACCATCTATCCATATGTAAGTCTTAATCTTGACCATCAGAGCGCAAAAAATAAACATTTTAATCCATAGTGGTAAACGGCACCTCGAAATGTTCTGCGCCGCTAAATATTGGGCAGCAATAGTCCCGGAAATACCGCAGAGCTTTGAACAAAAGACCGAAACAAAACTCGGCATCCATTAGCTTTCGCATTTCTGGAGAGCTTGTCGGCATTATACAGGCACCACTGTGGCCTCTTCGGAACAACATCAAATGGCTTCGTATAAGCGCGATAGGCCAGCAAACATTCCTGCATGCATTAATGAAGCTTCATCAAACGTACTCAAAATGCTCAGAAGATATCCTATGAGCCGAAAGTGACCGTAAAATTATTCATGTACAACCGATGACTTAATAATGGCCATGACTACAGCAAGCATGAAGCTCGTGCAATTTGTTCTGCCAAAATAAAGGGACGATCTCACCAGGTAAGCTGAATATCTTTCAGCTCAAGCCAAGTAAGGGGAAGGTGGGAGCTGAATGAGAACTCCTGGATGATCGTAAAGCACTTGAGCAAACTTGGCAGGACGCTCAGCTCCTTTGAAGCAAAGGTCACCAGGTATAAAGAGCACCTAATTAACACCGCCTCGAGTGCCAATGAAAGGACGAGCTCCTCAAGAAGACATTTTTGAGTTGGTAATGTACATGTAGAGTTAATTTAAAAACCGACAAATAATGAATACGTTCCCATGCTCCTGTCTAGAAATATATTACACAAGCAGATCCTTATAAAATTATTATTGTATTATAAAGATTCTTGAGGTCATATATAAACAAGTTCATAATTAGAACAGTATCATCATATTGCTGATGGTGAACTCGCTATCCGTGAGAACTTTAAAACTCACGACCAATTATCCAATTCCCTTCTACAATTAAGGTTGGGAACACCCATATCAGGGGATGATTTTTTCCGTGCGAACAGAGCAGAATAAAGATGCAGCCCATGCAGGTCGCGAATTCCGACAATGGAATAAAAATAAAATTGTGACCAGTGATTGAAATGTCGTTTTGCTGGGATACTCAGGACTTCGCGATGATACCACGGATTACACATTAATGACTACATCTGAATAATGAATCTTGTCCAAACCTTCAAATTTATACGTAGTAATAACACGGAAGTTTAGTCGTGTTCTGATGAAGAGCTGATGAGTAATCTTGACTCAGCCCTGCTTTCAATTTTCATAGAGACTCGTTTCCTGAGCTGCGTAACGAAATAAAATATTCAAGGAACTCAACAAATGAATAAATATTCAGACGTAAATACGACAATTTTTATTGAAAAAAGGGATTCGCAATACTTAAAACTTCTAACTAAAGTTGGGAGGAACTAAACAGTAAACAGGAGGCGAAAAATCGAGCTTGAATACTTACTACCAGAACCTTTGATTAAACAGATGTTGGAATTTTTTCGACTCTATGTAGAATGTGAGAATTAACTTTGTATTTAATGAGACGCCACCGAGATGAAGGTAAAAACAATTGTGCTCGTGAAATATTCTATAATTTTAAATTAAATAGCCGCAAGAGAACCATTACAACCGAGGAAGGAGCAAGTGAACTGTTTCGAATATAAATAAAGTAAGGTGCATGAGAACCATTTCAAACCGAGGAAAATGATGTAGACGTATGAGCTTCAAAGAGGAAAACTATCATAAGTAACAAGATGAAAAAAGGCGAATGAATGGTAATCCCGAGAACTACGCAACATTTACGTAAAAAATCATTTAAGCAAAATTCCAATTATTCATTATTCCAGTGAAGTAAAAATTCAACGTGACTACTTCCCCAAACCTGACCTCAAGATCATGTCAATCTAGTCTTCAATTATATTGTGAATTCTCGATCGAGTGCATGGCATTTTTTGACAATTTAATCCCTGCATAGATTGATTAGCAATTAATTTCCGGTCACTAAACGCGGCATGAAATTGAAATTTCACAAACATTGTTGCAGCTGCCAGAAGCGATCGCGCATTCAGTGCCTTGGTGTAAACACGACCGTTCCCATTGGAAGGCAGACCAGAATTGAGCTCTGGATTCTCCAGGCTAGCATTAAAGGGATTCCCAAAGCAAAGAACTTCCTTTTCGGACGTCATAAAAGATTGAGGTGAGATGAAAGAGTTTCCTTTCCTGTGAAATGCTGAAATAAAATGGTGACCAGTAAAATTTTGAGAAGGCGTTAAAAGACAAAAATGTAACAGTCTTGGAAGCTCCAAAGGTTTTCACCACTGTATTGATGCCTGGTGAAAATCGGTGATGAAAGCCAGTTTTTCGGTGTAGAGGGAAATTCTGAGAAAAAGACGATGCGTAACGACTTCCTGAATTGAACTATTCAAAATTTCTTCCCAAACTGACGGTATCAACACGAAAACTTTGGAGGAATAAGAAATTATTTCCTAAAGATTACTAAATTTCGGTTAGGGATCAAGAAGAAATTTGAAGACACATCCCTGGAAAATCAAAATAATATTGTAGGATACTCATAAAAAAATATTTGGGGAAAAAATTTCGTCGGCTCTTCTGTATTAGAAACAATGTCTATACATTTTAAATTTCAAATGAATAATACAACAGCTGAAAGGATGAGTGAAACTCATTTAGCGTTTCTCAAAGTTTTCTCTGCAAGAGAATTTCGAGTGGAATTGCTAGCGCGTGTAACTAGAATCCCTAACAGTTATTTTTAACTAATATGAAACAATTGATTTGAATAGTTCCTTATTATAGCTGACTAACTGCATATTAATGGAACAGCGATAAAGCCACTACTATTGGTTGCCAATTCCGTGTCACTTCATATGGCGCTCCCATAGAGACCTCGTGGAGCCACAAATTAATATGGCAACTGCGCGCAATTCACGCGACCAAAAACGCAACAATTGCTTCCCTATATAAAGTTGGCGGCGCTACATACGTTGCCACCGTCCATTACAAGTTGGGGGATATGCTCTCTTACGTGGGACTACAAAGTAAGATGAATATATAATATCGACAACCAAACAAATGCGGTGCAGCGAGAGAAATAGAATCCTGGGCGAAAACAAATAAGGTTAACGAGCGTTTCGAACACGAACTGGACAAACTCTAATTGGACTTGTGGTCATTATGAAAACTGAGTCACTCAAGTAAGTCAAAATACATACACGGACATTAATTATTTTTTCCGAGCATACATGATTTCTAAAGAGATCATTTCTGTCCAATACTGAAGACACGCAACGGAAGTGTTTACCAGTTTGCCGTTCTGCTCACCTTAAGCACGTAGATGGTGCCGGACTCGGGATCAACGGAGAAGGCAGCCCGGCGACGCGTCCAGTGTTTGCTCTTGGAGACCGAGGGCGGGGCGACGGCGGGGGGCGGCGCCCCTGGAGACCGAAGCGCCGGACCCGCGAGACCGAGGACGATGTCACTGACGAGCGACGAAGAGACCGGGAGAAGTCGTGACGACGACTTTGCGATGGGAGTAAAGTGTAGCTGATGGGGTTTACTCTGAGACGATGATCTTGATTGGGGAAAATACTGATGTCGCGTAGCTTCGTTGTTAAGATTATCATTGTGGGGGTTAAGACTGGGATCCTGGGGGTGGGGGTCCTGGGTTTGGGGGACCCCGTCCCCACTGAGGGAGTAGCGCAGCACTCCCCAGCTGCCTCCATCACGATCCCGCGCGACCACCTGAAAAAAATTTTTAGTATAAATATACGCATCGTTTTAAATAATATTGATCACAAAGTGTTTATGTTTCGGAACACCAACAAATATATTAATTCCTAACAATTTAAGGGGACCGGCTACCTTCCGGAAAAACTTCTACAGTTATCATCCGATCATCATGAAACTTCACATACATACGTAAAATGTAAAAACAATAACATTTTGCACCTATGAATTTTTCGAAAAAAAAAATTGATAGAAAACGTGAAATTCATAGAAAACGGCTAAAAATGGGTGCTTTAGAAAATCTATCTCTTCCTACAAATATCATTCTACAACATCGAGACACGTATCATTCGATTTGTAAAGACCATACCTATCGGCTAGCTGATCATTTTTTTCATTTTCCCCGTAGTTTTTTTATGCGCGTTTTTCCCATTTTTCTCATTTTTTCTCATTTCCCCCCCTCCCCCCCCCCTTCTCCCCCATATATATAAGACGAACCATACACAAATTCAAAAAAATGATCAGTTAGTTTATAGGTATGGTCTTTACGAATCGAATGGTATATGTCTCATTGCTGTTGCTTGACTGTAACTGTAGGAGGAGATAGGTTTACCGTGGGAGCAATAGGAGGTTTTCACCACGCCCAAAAAACTGCCGCGCGGCACGTAAAATGACGTAAAAGAGTCGTAACGTAGCCTAGATACCGTAACTAAGCCTCAAACTAAGTCAGGGAGGAATAGAGCGACTGGCTGCATATCTCTCACCTCGCTGTCATGATGGGCACTGAGTGTGTTGGCCGCTATACGCGATATTTGTAGTGCAACTCTCGAATTATCTCCCATTCAAATAGTGAAGGCTGCCCCCCACCGCCCCCCATTCTGCGACGCGTCCTGTGCCTCAAAATGCAGGTAGAGAGATGGTTCTGGTACCGTTCGACGCGTCAGAGAGTAAACTTTAAGATGAGTATAAGCATCAGATAATGCCATAATTGGTCGCTTTACGTCAGACGTTCATTTTTAGTGTGTCCAGCCTTCGAATTAATCCCATAGACTTTACTGAAGGGCCCTCAAAACCGCCCCCCTTCAGGGAGCTGTCACGAAATCATTTTTTGACGTAGAGAGATGATTCTGGTACCGTTTGATGCGTCAGAAAGTAATCTTTAAGATGAGCACAAAAACCGGAAAACCCCAAAATTGAAAATTTAGGGGTACTCGATTCAGTACGAATTCAACCCAAATATTATCTTGATAAGCCCAAGCCGACCAAATTTCAGTAGGCATATTTGTTATGAATGCGAGGCAACGAAACCTCGCAACAGGAAGGCGCGCTCTTCATCAGAACTCAGATCAGGAATCCAAGTAGCATTGGAACCGCTATAAAAGCCCAAATACGAGCATTGGAATCGAATAAGGAATATCGGGAATTCTATCATTGCTACCCAATTGTAAATAACAGTTGAATCATCACTGCCGTATCACCGGCCATGCATGGCCACCGATAAACAGCCGGTATTAGCTCACGGAATTTAGTCTTGCAACGAACGCATATGTAGAACATGCATGCTTCAGCGAGCACTGCTTTTACTGCAGGCTCATATCAGAGCTCAAATGACAAGTCGCTGGAGTTATAAAATTTCAATGATAATATTACTTCCAAACTACTAAAGTACAACAAGTTCAATACTCCTACAAGAACGTTAAAGCCTACTACAATAAAAGACGATTTCGATACTCCTACAAGAATCTTACAGTTTACAAAGTTAATATACAGTGATACCTCGACTTACGAGCGCCTATATTTGCGAACTTTACCAGATACGCACTGGAAGTTCAAGATATTTTTGCCTCCGCGTACGAACATGTCTCAGCTTACTAACCCATTTTCAGTTTGGCTTTAAAACTCCAGTTTCTATTGTTCACAGCATCTGCTATCAACTCATATGATTCGGCCACTTCCTTAGAGCATGTGATCGCTGCAACATCTCCGTTATTTTACGTCCGTGGTCATATTTCTTTTCAGTGACCCATATATTTTATTTAATTGTGTTTATTTAATCAGTGCACGTTAAATACCAATAAATATTGGATCATGACACCTAAAAAGACTACTGAGAACTGGCGAAGAGAATGATACGAAGATTATCGAGTCAATAATTGACATTCAGCTTCAACTCCTAGCCTTATAGTTTTTATTTATTATTTTTTTTTCTTTTTAATAGTTATGGTTTTGTGTGTTCTAAGTTAATGACTTTATGGGATAATAGTTCATAAAAGGACATTGCGGCATGCATTTGTTGCTTCTACATGAATTCTTCTAGGAATTCATCCCACACGCGAATTGGTTTTTCTTTCTACCGCATCAAGCCAAACTAGGTCATATATAGTAGGTCGTTTCTAAGTGATTGGAAGTGAAACCGTTTCTGTTTTAGGTGCAGACAATATTAATTTGGCTTGTCTGTTTGATGGAATATTTTTCGCTGTAATATTCTATAAATGGCACGTACAAGAGAACTGCTGACGGTCAAATGTTAAAATCAGTCTTGTGATATAACAACCAATCAGTCACTCTTGTTTCCAGTCACATTCGTTTCCACGCCAAGTGCACGTCATCTCATATAAATCCGTAAAGTTATGCAGAACTGCAGAACTCGATTCTGCAGAGCCGCAACAACCAGAATTGGTTTTGCTTCTACTATGTTATTGATATTTATGCGTAAATTGAGTATTTTCCGCTCAGAAACGTTCGCAAAGCTCTACGGACGGTTTTTCAGGCTCATCGCCGCCAGCTACAGAAATTACGACCCAATACACAACGTTTTGTATGCTCGCGCCTGGCGTTATATAATATAATTACCTTGTCACATAATTAGCTTAAAAGTCCTCCGAAATATTTCTTTTAAGCTATCTTAATATTTGGGCGACCATGAGTGAACCATTCATGTATTCCATCGTGAAAACATCAAGCACGAAACGGACAATGCGCTGAAATCGCCAACACTTTGGTCCGCATCAAATGGCTTCCGCACCATTTTTAACGCCCTCGTCTCTGCCACGACAAAATATATGCATCAAATACGTACTAAATTAGGGATATCGGATAAATATTTTCTTAACAAACAAAATTATATTAATAATCTCTTAAATACCGGAATTTGGTATCAACACAGTATACAAATATGAACAAATCACCTATAAATCGGCCTTATCTCTTAATAAAAATATTAGAAGTCCGCTAAGTACGAAAAGAAACTACTGAGATCGATCTGAATTTGGCATTGTGAGGAAAATGAAATCAGGGAACTGGACTGAAGTTTTCAGCTACAGGCTCATTATCGGCAGAACGATACACATCTTTGCTACAAACACATCTCTTAAAAGCTAATCTAGACCTACAACATTGATCGAATTTCAATGCGAAAAAAAAGTTGTAGAGAAATGCTTTGCAGGTCGACCTCGATTAGTTGGCGTTGAAGATTGAGATGCACGGCTTTGGAGTACGTCGACTGATTAAATTATTCCTACACAGGAGGCGGATTAAAAAAAGTAATCACCACTGATAAATATAATTTGCACAGTGAAAAGAGCTAATAGAGGAACTAATTCAGAAACAGAAGATTTAGAAAATGAATTTAATTAGTTATAGGAACGAATTGCACAACAATTCAATGATTTTCCCAGGATCGAATTTACCATTGGCTATTAACTCGCAGATAATTTAAATATTGATACAATTCCCCCAAAGTCAACTTGTGAGTAACTATGGTGAAAATATTCTTTTTAACTACCTTCTCCTACCGACAGACAAGCGAGGATGTCTGGGAACGACGCGACACTGTCAACTGCGCCAGTTCTTATGATTAGAGCGTCGGTAATTCTGACTTAAAATTATATTATATTTTATAGAACGCACTCTGTGGGTGAATTAGTTCGTAAATTGAGTTATGAAAGTTAGAGACTTAGAGTAAAGTGTTGAAAATTTGGGGTGGAACTGTGTAAAGCTTGTTTAAGGTGCTGTTGTTCTCGAGACCGGGAGAGCGAAGGTTGTTCATAGTTTGAAACGGCGAGGGTATCAAAGGTACTCACAACCGTCGCGGCGTCACTTCGAGGGAGTAGGCGTTACGCGGTGCGCGACACTAGCGTATATAAGGACCTTGAAATTCGCGCCAAGGGTTGGTTCTACAAAAGTCACGGTCACGAGCACAGTCTGCAGCGGACTTTGCAACGGCCGCGGCCGTGAGGCCGGCGGTTTGTCGTTTTCGAACATTGACGGTCGTGACTCGCGAGAAACCTAGACTATCGCGGCAACTACGAGTCCGGTGAGCACGTCAAGAAAATCAACATCAGCACTACGGCTGCGACTCAGCCGTGAGACAATGCGAGAGAGCCACGAGTTGTACAACGATTATAACGCACGTCATCAGAAGATCTAAGTTTCGAGCTCTACACCAAGAATTATCATCGGTACGGTCATCAATAGTACGGTCACTATTTTCATCAGAAGAAGCGGTACGGTCACAGTCATCTCGACCGCAGAACGACAACGGAGTTGGAGTATTTTCATCGACTATGAAGACGAGCACCACTATTCCGAAGTACGGTCATTATAAACTCTACGGTTAGACCGGCCGCGAGACATCACTATAGCGCGAAAAATACGGCCATGAAGAAAGAGCAACTGTGAAAGCGGACGCGAGAATACAGCAGCGGCACGGCCGCTGAACATACGGCCGTAAATATGTGCGCAAGTTACGGTCGTTTACAGCTGTCATAAGCATTGGAACTGCAACGGATCACACGCTTTTTCCGGTAATACTAGATGATTTTTATGATGTTAACTAATAGGCTTTGGGCTTTTGATTGTGATCAGATTACATTTTTCAAGTACTAGAGATTTTTGT